TTGGCCAAGTTTCATCCTCATCCTGTTGTGAAAGAAATTGGAGCACATACTCATTCATCCAATCAATGAAGAGAAATAAAATTACTCCACAACGGGCTGAAGATTTAGTTTATGTGCATACAAACCTTCGGCTTCTCTCAAGGAAAACTCCAACTTATATGGAAGGAGACAACAGGATGTGGGATGTTGCTGGAGATGGATTTGAATCTCTTGAGGATATGGGAATATTAGAAATTGCTAATCTTTCACTTGATGAGTCTGAATTAGAAGCTATGATATTTATTGAAGATGATATAGAAACTCAAAGACAAACCACTGAAGAAGCTAATCCTATCATTCCTTTTATTGAATAGTTGAAATTTCATGTGCTGGACAATTTATCTTCTTGTTTTTGTTGATGTACTAGACATTTAAATGTTTAATGCTTACTTTTATTTCAATTTTTTTGTCATTTCAAATATTACACTTTGATTACTTTCTTAATTTTTATATATTATTTATATATTACAATGCCGTATCCGCGCCGTATCCGTATCCGTATCCGTATCCTGTATTTTTAAGAATTGGCGTGTCCTGTATCCGTATCGGTGCAACATAGTCTCTGGTTTTAAAATTAGTTGCTATGAAACCCATAATGCTTCATCAAAATTTGATGCAGATTAGCAGAGTGTTCTTTTTTGCAAATTCATACTGGGCCATATTAAGTGCATTAAAACTTGGCTATTTTATACTTCTACCTTTTGCTTGATTCTTTTCTGGTACTTTTGTGCTATTTTCTTAAAATCCCTTGAACTCAAGCACATAATGTGATAAGGTAACCTTATTGCTAGATTGGTGAAGAAAGATGTGTTTATAGTAATATTTGAAGAAACTGAACTATTATTGCACTTTGTAGTTCAGTGCTTGACTTGATCAATGGGTTCCCAAGAGGTGCTTCTCTGAGATATGTTGTCCTGTTTATGCAAAACCAGTCTAGATCTCGCCCAACAGTGAATTAGATACTAATTACTCTGTTTAATTCAAATAAATTTATATACAAATGTTTTGACTCAGATATACTTATTTTGAAAAGTATTATATTCAACATATTTTTGTGCCGGGCTCAAGCTACTTGATATAACAATATAAAGATAGGCGTCAAATGCATTTATTAGGTCTGAGTGAGTGATTTTGTTTTGTTTGGCAGGATGACGAGGCTTCTTTGTTGCAAAGTCAGCGGGAGGCTGAAATGATGATCATTGAAGCTTATACTGCTCTACTGCTTGCATTCCTGTCGACTGAAAGGTATCCTTTTTTTATCAATTCGTTGTTCTTTGCCATTTATTTCATTTTTCATTTTTAATAGTGGTGGAAACATTGTTGATGTGGTATTTTATTTGTTCTATACAGTATAGCAGTGAAAGAAACGATTACTCGCTGCCTTCCCAATCATAGATTGGAAATTCTTGTTCCTGTCTTGGAGAGATTTGTGGTAAGATTTTTGGTGGAACATATCATAGTCTGATGACCAGAGAAAAAACAAATGCCCGAAGATAGATTAATTGAATTTGTCTTCTATTTTCCCTCATTTCTCTCATGCCTATATAGTATTATGGATCTGTAGACTTCTTATATTTGAACCTTGAATGATATCTATTAGGTTATTTTTTTTCCAACTAGTGATCTTACAGATTGCCCATGCAATGACTAACGCTTCATTTGAGATAACTTTTTTTACTTCTTTTTAAAGCAGTTTTCTAGTACCAATATTTATAGCTTAAGAAAATTTTGTATTAAAAAGCTAATTTAGAAAACAATAAGAAAGTTGTCCCAAACGAACCCTAAATCAGTTGGAATATGACAAAAATTAGAAAAAAAGTGATGGGCTTTTGTTGTGAATTTAGCATTTGAGTCGCCTTAGATGGTTTGGCCACATAAATCGTCAGTCTTTCAATGACCCGGTTAGGAAAGTAGATATATTAGATTTGACTTATGTTAAAAAAGTAGAGATAAACCTAAAAAGGCTTAGCTAGAAATATTAGAAATGAACTTTCTTTATTAGTTTTAAATTTGAATTTGACTCTTAACCGGATATAATGGAGAAAAATGATTCATGCAGCCGACACCACATATTTAGATAAAAGGCTTGATGTTGTTGTTGTTGTTGTGGTGAAAATTAAAAAAATGAAAATAGTAGATTATTAATTTCATAAATAGCCAAATTTTTAGTGTAATTTGTGAAATTGCCCCAAGTAATAATCTTTAAGATCATGGTCTTCTTTGCTTTGCCGCAGGCATTTCATCTGACTTTGAATATGATATCACCGGAAACACATTCGGCTGTTGTGAAGGTAATTGAATCTTGTAAAGAGCCATAAGAGAAAGAGGATCATCCTGTACAGATTTGGTCTCTTTATCATCTCAGGAAATTTTCTTTTTCTCCTTGAGATGATCCAGGAAACAAGCTTGACGTGCCTTCTTCAACTCGAACTTTGTATTTTTTTCTTTCTTTCTTTCTTTCTTTTTTAATGTACATTATGTCTCCTTGAGCAGTCCTTTCCAAGTGTTGTCAAACAGCAGTGGAAGGTGAGGTTTTCCATTTGCAGTGATTGAGCAAATGATATAAAAGAAATGTATTGTTTGTAAATTTGTTCATGATTGTTTTAGCCCGTAGCCATGTTCTAAAGAAAAATGCCAGAGGGATGTAAGTGATATTCTTTTCTTTTCTCTTTTTAATGGTTTTTTTTATATATATATATATATATATGTGAACATTTCCACCATCTCTTGCAAATAGTTTGTTAAAAAAATTTATGCTGAGTTGAGTGAACATGATTAAATCCAAGATCCACAACTACTATGGACTATTTGCACTAAGAACCAATTCCATGAGCCTACTTATATATATATCAAAATATACTCCTTATATTTTGATTTTTTCCCTCTCTTGTGCATTGTTGTGATCATTGAGGTTTATGACGATTTTCTTAATGTTTCTTTAAGGAGTTTAATTTTTTACTAAAAAATTTCTTTAATAAGCTGTAAGAAAGCCATCCCAAATGAAGTTTTAGGTCTCGTTTGAGATGACTTTTCTATTATTTGGTAATACCATTTTTTAGTATAAAATTTAAAATTTTTGTAAAAAAAAAATTGTTTTAAGAAACAACAATAAAGCTGCCCCAAATGAAGCTTTAGTTAGATCATTTATCTTATAGTTCTCTTTGGAAGGAAAGTCTTTTATATACATCTTCTAAAACCCAATGTTTTGATGATTGAAGTTGTTAATTTAAATCTTAATGTTTTTTATTCCTCAATTTAGAATGATTTTCAATAACTAAAAGCTCTGACACTAAGTATTAAGAATATTTATAATAAATTAACAAGCAAACAAAAAACAAAATAAAATAAATAATCGTAGCAAAATACAACATTAAGCACATATAAATCAATATGTTTTTTCCGAGATCCACTTACATTCGCAATTACATAATCTATCTTATTTTCATTTTTGTATAATTATTTTATACTTTTAAGATTATGATCGGTGGAGATGAATAAAATAGTATTCTAATTTGTCTTTTTGAGCAAAAATCTTGATTATTATTATTATTATTATTAGAGTTTCTCCTAAGTAGCTTGTGCTTTATGACATGCATTTTACCCTACAAGCTTGAATAAAAAATGTCATATTTGAGGTATTTTTATTTTATTTTTAAAATATTTATTACAACTTTAAATTATTTTAAATATTTTTATATTTAAATATCACCACTGTCACTATCATCATTTTATCATTGCCTCCATCATCATCACATAAACAAATATATACATTTTAAAAAATTAAAATTAAAATATAAATAAAATAATTAAAAAAACAAAAATGATCTCAAACATTTGAATATCAACACTAAATTAAACTAAAACTATTATTTAATAACCTTAGAAACATCTATATAACACAAGTCTGAGGCTTTATTTGGTACAGTCTTTTTATTACTTTCTAAAACATTATTTTCATACAAAAATTTTTATTTAGAAATATAAAAATTTTTGTATGAAAATATTGCTTTAGAAAAAGCAGTAAGAAAGCTCTTCCAAACGGAGCCTTAATTGATTTTATTTAGCACAAGTCTTAGCAGCCAGATCTTATGCGAATGCTTAATAAAACGCAGAAACAAACAGCATCCAATCTGGTTATTGATCGATGCAAAAGCACTTAGTAATACTGGTTTTTATATGATCCTGAAGAGCTTCAAATGTTTCTCTTTAGGAAATCAAGGATGAGCTCGTTCACCTCTTCAGGATTCTGTTCATGGACGAAATGCGATCCTTCCGGCAAGAATTTCAGCTCCAGATTAGGGATAAACTTCTTCTGCGTTTCGCTCCTCACGTATTCCCCTATTCCAGGAAACTTGATCACGTAATCCTTCTCCCCCATGATAAGCAATGCCGGCTGCTTAATCGTCGGATCCGCCGCCACTGGCCGCTGCTCCGATAGTTGCCTGCGGAAACGAAGAGCGGATATCGGAGTTATATCAGTTTAGGGTTAGGTTAAATGGACCATATCTGCTCACCGATATGGGATCTGGAGCGGGAAACGGAAGCCGGAGTTCTTGTAGAGCGCGCCGTAGGCCTCGAGATCCTCCTCTGTGAACCATGGCGGCAACGGAGTGGAAGGGTCTACAAGATCCATGATTTCTTGGCCCTCCGCTGCTATGGGAATCTCGCTTTTAGAGAAGAGGATATAGACGTTCCTCACCACCGTCTTGGCATCGTGCCGGCCGAAGTCCGCTTCTGCTCTCCCTGGTTCCCTCCATCTTTTGATGTAGAAGCCTTCGGGGAGAGACAACATTTGTTCGAAGCCGGTCGGGGTGTAAGGAATGCCAAGAGTCACCAAACCCTGGACGCGATCGGGGTGCCTAATGGCGAAATGGTAAGCTGGAAAGGCTCCGAAATCTTTGCTGATTAGGAAGGCCTGCAAGAGACATGCAGATAAGGTGTTTGTGTTTATTACTAAGTAAGAGCAACGAGTTTGGTTTGCGAGCGACGGAGCGAGTACCTTGGGGACGCCGAGCGCGTCGAGGATGCCAAGGAGATCGCCGATGAGGTCTTCAAACGTAGCTTTCTCCGGCTCTGGCGGTTGATCGGAAAGGCCGTAGCCTCTGAAATCGGGGGCGATCGCTCGGAACCCAGCGTCGGCGACGGCGATCATCTGATACCTCCACGTGTACCATATCTCCGGGAAACCGTGCAGGAAAACCACCGTTCCCAGTTCCCCTGCAGGTAAAAAACATGAAATTTCGAGATTTTGTAAACAAAATTGTGGATTTGGTAAGAGAGAAAGGGCAAAGTGTCGTCTTTCTGACCCTTTCCGATCTGGGCTATGTGAAGGTTGAGGTTTCCGATGTCGCTTCGGATGGGGAGGCGAGAGTGTTCGATCTTTCCCAAATCCACCATATTTGCTTTCTTCTTCCTCCTTGGGCGCAGTCTGGTTTCTGCGTTTAATAGCAAATGATAAGATGATGATGCATGGAGAGGGCTGGGCCTATTATTTAAAAAATAAATATTATTATAAGTGTTATAAATATATTTTGGGAAATTTACATACATACCACTTTATAACATACTATTTACATATCTAACACCTAAAACTTTAATATTACATGCATACCACCATATATTATTTTAATATCAAATATACGACTTATATTTCTTTGCTACCACTCATATTTAGTATGGAAAATGAATTATGAGTGGTATGTATGTAATATTAAAGTTTTAGATGTTAAATATGTAAATATAATAGTATTAAGTGGTATGTATGTAAATTTAGTATTTTTCTCACAACTCATGTTCAATATTAAGAGTTTGTTTGAGATAATTTTTTAGATGTATTGTTTTTACAATAATTTTTTTTCCCATAGGATCAAGCACCTATATTTTTGTTTTTACAACAATTAATTTCATTTGATTGTTACTTTTTTACAATTTTCTCATTGATTTTCATATTTTTTTATGGTGAAATTTTAATTTTTGTAATGAGAGTAATTAAGTTACTTTCTTTTTAGTTATTTCACAACCAATTTTGTAAAATATTGTCCTTGTTTTAAAAAAGTTCCCTAAATATGATTATCAAAAGTAATATTTATGCGCGAAAAATTTAAAAAAATACGAGAAAGAAACAAGAAAGTCTCAGGATTTGTTTAAGATAATTGTAATTTTTAATAAAGGTGATTATAAAGTTAGGGAAATTTACATACATACCACTTAATATTATTCTATTTACATATTTAACACCTAAAACTTTAATATTACATAAATACCACCCATAGTTTATTTTCATATCAAATAATTGCATTGGCCTACATGAAACAGTGCATTCATATCCCATTGCAACCTTTGAAGAGCTTGTGATAACATATGGTGTCTATAGCTAATCATAGGATGTCTGATAAATATTTTCAACAAAATTATTTTTATTATTATTTTTAATTTAGATGTCAACATTAGGGAAAAAAAATTATCTTTAATAAAAATGTTTTTATTTGTTGATATAGTTGATGGTAAAATATCCAGAGAACGAGGAACGGATCAGCCCCAAATCAGCCGTAGAGAAAAAAATATTTATCGCATATTATACAAAAATTCTAGCGCACATATGAATAAGATGAAAGTATCTCATGTGAGATATTAGAATTTTTACGTGAAAAATTCGTAAAAGGTAAAAATCAAGGGTCTTGATCCAAATGATTGTAAGCTATAGGTTATAAAGATGCCCTTCTTTGAAATTAGAGAAGGCATTGATATAATATGATAAACACATATTATGAAAGACAACTTTCATGGTACAAGTTGGATGAGCTTTAAGATATTATTTTTGTCAGTAAGAGATCATTAGTAGTCTATTTTTTTATTCTCCTTAAACACTGGCCAACAATGTGGACATGACCATGGTAGAAATGACGAACATCAATATTGGTGACAATAGCAGGGGCCAAATTTGTTGGTGTTGATGGATGTCGATCTTGTTGGTCATGGCAAATATTTGTGTGACAATAATAGATGTTGGTCATGGCAAACATTTCCTTCTTATAGTCGTAAGCTCGTTAGGGATTGGCTTTCCTTCTCCTGCTATTCGTTGTTGTTCGACTTTGCTTTGCGCAAGAGTTTGAGTTTTGAACGAGTCGCTTGAAGAGTTCTTCACATCCTTCAACGACATTCCTTCATGTCGGATCGTAAGTCATGATAATTCCCCGTTCTTATGTTAGATCGAAAGTAATGATGACAACAGGAGCTCACTTGTTACAAAAGGTAGCCATCTTTCTATCTTTCGCACGCTATTTCAGCCAAATGCTGTAAATTCATCGAACTCCCTGATTTAGTAAATTTGGGATTTACAACAGAGAGAGAAACGGAGGGTTTATTCTCCGAGAGATTTAATCGATCCATAAATCTCATTTGGCATGATTTAGGGGCTTTTTGGCAATAAGTAGTATTTAGCTACTTAGGACTTAGTAAATCCTAAATTTAATAAATCTTGGGGCTGCTAAATCTTAAAAATTATTTGACAACTTAAGTGATAAATCATGTTAAATTTTTTAACTAATACACTTACTTAATTTTTCATTAATTATTTAATTGTTATTTAATTTTCAAAATGATTACCTGTACTTTTAGTTATCTCATTAAGCACTTAATTATTCAACTAGTCATATATGAAAAGTTAAAGCGAGAACAATATTATGAAAAATATATTATTGATTATTATTTACACCGTTAATTATATATTTAGTAATCTCTATTTTAAATTATATTAATTAAGCTAATTAAATTAAATTTTAATTACTAATTATATTATTAATTATTTAATTAATTTAATTAATTATTAATATTTTAAGTTAACATTAGAGACGTCTAGGGTTTGCTTTTCATCTTCTTTCTTTCGTCGCTGCTGTTTGGCTTCCTTGCGTCGCAGGAGGAGGTGTGAGATTGCTCGAGTGGCTTCTTCGCCTACTTCGTTGTTGTTCGACTTCGCTCCTTCGACGACGTTCCCTTTTCCTGTCGGATCGGAAGTTACGACATTTTGATCGGAAGTAAGGACGCGAGCTCGCTCGCTGTGAAGGTAACTTTCTCCATTTCTCGCGCTTCTTCGGCCAAATCCCCTAAATCCGGCGAACTACATGATTAGTAAATCCGGGATTTACGGTCAAATCCCCTAAATCTGCTGATGTTTGTGTGTCTTAGTTTTGAGTTGGAGAACATGGAGGCTAGTCTAGAGAATGATGAGGAGTATGTCCTACTTGACTTGGAGAATGTTTGCATGCAGGCTGATATTCCAGCCAATGCTCCGTATACTCTTTCTGTAAGTATATGTTTTGATATTTTTTACTTCTCTTGTAAAAATTAAAATAAGCTTATCAAGATAGTTACCAAATTAAATGATAATGAGCTTCCCTCAAGTGTTCTGAAACAACTCTTCATATGTAAATCAAGAAAGATAACAATCATCTAGTTTGATTAGGTTTTGAAACAGCTTAGCTTTGATAATTTTCTATATATAGCCGACAACATTCACTGTCTCTGTTCAAAAGTATTTATGTAGGCTATACTCTCCCAACATAACCCTAGCTGCATCTACTAGTGTCATATTCTTCCTTTCAGCTATGTCATTACGTTGCAGGGTCCTAGGAGCAAAAAAATTATGATCAATCTATGATTATTTACAAAGTAGTTCAATTATGTCATTTTCAAACTCTCTATCATGATCACTATGAATTGTAGAGATTAAACAACCTAATTTCCTCTGAATCTAAGTGGAGAACGCCATCCAGAGTCCAATGAAAAAGCATCACATCACCCCCTACTCGGTACCGTTGCTCGGTATTGGATGACGTGACTGCACTTAATTCGCCTCTGGACGGTAAGCAGTGTCCGGTGTCCGCATAGAATAATCTCTCGTGGTGATGGGGAGGGAGGAGGGTGAACATTGTGTTTGTGTTTTTACTAGTATATATTAATTCCTGAGCTTTGTCCCACATTTATTAATCTGATCTACTTACCTTTTTTATGTAGGGCTTGGACACACTAAATCCTACGCTTACTATAGGGAATCGTCTGAAGTTGGTAAGCAGCTAGTTGCATTTTTTATAAACTGAAGTGCCTTCATCTGCAGTTTCCTTCAAAATGTAAAGACAAATTTCTCATATATTTGTTCCTGAGCAGATTGGCGAGTATCAAGAAACAATTGGAACTTGCTATATGTTCTGTGAACGAGGTTAGCTATCAAAAACCAAAATTTAAATGCTCAGTTGTCTATCTTCACTTTTCAGAGCGTGCAAAACATATTTAGGTTTGATTTGATTGGGCATACGTTGAAAAAAGATGTCGGTTGCTGTTCGGATGCATACCTGTGTTTTTCAAACCTACATTATCATACCAAATTGCAAAGCTTTTTATTTTTGCTTCTTCATTGGTAAAAATAAGTTTTGGAACCACTGTTTCTCATCAAAACTCCTCTTGCTAACAAACGAGGCCTTGGCCTATTTGAGAGAGTTCATTAAATGCTCTTCCAATGTTTTCATGCAACTTTTTCAAGATCAATGTGTATAAAAATTCATGATTTGTTCACCAATTATGAATCCTCGATTTTCAAAGCCATGTGAACTTCTCATGAATGAAATCTCTGTTTGGTGCCGCAGATGCTGAAGCAGCTGTGAAGAAGACTGATATAGGGTCATGTGGTGGTAATTTTCCCAAGAACCAGCAACACACAGGTGGTCCGAATCAATCTCCATGCAAGCAAATCAGGCTCGTTGCTAGCACTCAAAAAATTCTTAAGTTCAGGTTGCAGGCTGATGTGCAAGCCGAAAATGCCCTTTGATTTTGGGCAGTTTTAATTTTTTTTTTTTGGCTTTGTGCAATATTAATTACTTTGGGGATGAATTCATAATTTTTATTTAAGAAATATTAATCCAAATTATGTATTAAGGGGGATAAATTATTAGTTCAAAATTTTCTTGGAATATAGAAGATTCAGTATAGTAAAAGCATATGGTTAGAAATCTATCAGTTTCACAAATTTTTTCTTTCTATATTAATGATGATGCCTGTATAGTTGCGGTTCATCTATATTGAATGTTAGATAATATGTTGATCATCATATACCAAAATATATGCAACCCAAAACTTTAATTCTTCATCCCCCTCCCCATACGTTTGGAATAATTTTCTTACATTTTTTTAATGATTAAAATAATCCCTTTACTTTTTATAAAAGATTAAAAAAATTAATCTCTCAACTTAAAAAATTTCAAAATAATCTTAGTATTATTAAACTATTAAGATTTTTTAAAAAAATTAAGTAAAATGATTCTTTAATATAATTGAAAATTATTTTGTTCCTTTATAAAGAAATAATGGATTATTTTAATTCTTCTCTTTTTAAATAATATTTTAGTACAATTAAAAAAAAACAGGAAATTAAGTAAAATGATTCTTTAATATAATTGAAAATTATTTTGTTCCTTTATAAAGAAATAATGGATTATTTTAAATAATATTTTAGTACAATTAAATAAAAAAACAGTGAAAAAAGTAACAAAAAATGGTCGATCTTTTCTCAACTATGTATATGCCCAATTCAAAATCTATTTCTCTATTATTCAATTTTTATTGCCATCCCATCCCTAATATAAACCATTTAACTATTAGCATTTCTAATTTATCACATATTCATTTAATTTATTATAAAAAAACTTATCTCAGAAATAATCTACATGACCTAACAATTTCATAGATCTAATATTTGCATCAATGATATCCTTTTGCTCAAATAGAGCAAGAATGTGAACAGAACGCTCATAAAAATTATAACTATTTACGTTCAAGTAAATATAATAAACTCGTCCTCTTAAATAGCAGAAAAATAACTCAGAACAAACTTAAATCTTCATCCAAATCAGAACCCAATAAAATAGTACTAACAGCAAAAGAAATCATCTGAGAAACTATTAATCAAAACAAGCCGTACCTCTTAACCTGCAACTACGACTTCCTTGGGAGCTTTAAGCTTTGCTTCAGCAGCATCAGCTGGAGCTGAAGTTGCAGACAGAGCAATCTCCATGTGAGGAGGGGTATTGTTCTTCAGTTTCAGTAGCAAATGTCGCATCCTCGATAGGTCAGTTGGCTTACCAGGCTTTGGCCCTTTAATGACTAAAATGGAGGGCTTCTTCTCCTGCTCTTTCTTCCCTCTCTTTTCGAGGTTGGGAACCTCATTTGGAATGAGCTCTGCTATAGCTTTCCACCACTGCTTATCAGCGTTAGCATGGAATTTCTCCTGGTTCGCTAAGAAAAGCTGCTCGAGAAAGACAAAAAGGGAGATTAATGAACAATTGAATCTATATATCTGCTCCTGCGAATATCAGACCAGTGAGCATTTAAATGACAATAATTTGGGCGCTCAAGTGATTAATAAGAGTACACGTTTTAGATATCTTGGATCTATTGTTCAGAGTTATGGTAAAATAGATGGGGATATTATCAGCAGAATTCAAGTTGGATGGTTGAAGTGGAGGAATGCATCGGGCTTGTTGTGCGATAGAAAAGTCCCCCTCAAACTTAAGGAAAAATTCTATAAGATGGTTGTGAGACCTCGAATGCTTTATGGTGCCGAATGTTGCCCATTAAAAGAGAAGCATAATACTACGTTAAATGTTGCAGAGATGAGGATGCTTAGGTGGATGAGTGGCTTTACCCTTAGAGATAGGATACTAAATGAGCATATACGTGAAAATGTTGGAATAGCTCTAGTAGAAGATAATACTACGTTAAGTGTTACAGAGATGAGGATGGTTAGGTGGATGAGTGGCTTTACCCTTAGAGATAGGATACAAAATGAGCATATACGTGAAAATGTTGGAATAGCTCTAGTAGAAGATAAGATTAGACATAGTCGCCTTAGATGGTTTGGCCACATTAAACGGAGGCTTTCCGATAACCCGGTTAGGAAAGTTGAGGTTTTAGATTTGTCTACCTAAAAATACCAGGTTAGAAAACATTAGAATTAATCTTTCTTTATTAGATTTAAATGAGAATTTGACTTTTAACAAGACACAATGGCGAAAAAGATTTCATGTAGCCGACTCCACGTAGTGGGACAAAGGCTTTATGTTGTTGTTGTTGTTGTTGTAGAGGGACAAAGGCTTTATGTTGTTGTTGTTGTAGAGTATTTAAAGAACCGTTTGAAAATTAGTTTTTTGAATAAATAAAATTTAACTGTTATGAATGAAATTGAAATGATAACCTTTTCCTTTTCTCTGTTCTGAGCCCTATTTGTTTCAGAAGTCGACTTCCGCTTCTCATGGTAGGCTTTCTTGTATTCCTCTGCTTCAATAATGATTTGTTCACGTAGCTCTTTTTCGATACTCTCTTTCTCCTCAAGAAGGATGGTATTTTGGCTGCATATGCAGTTCAATAGAATGAGAATAAAATATAGCACTACTGTGATTAAAGTGACAACGTGGTACTAATTTGCAATGGCAGAAAAAAAAAATTGTTTTAGATTTGTAAACTTTGTTTGCCTAAACATACATTTTCATGGATGATATTAAACTAATGCATCAGGGAGGGAATTAGATGTTGGACAGTTTCATCCACAAAATATTAAGAAAAAAAAAATTGATTTGGGATATCTTGACTAAGTTTTTAGAAAAGATGGGTTTCAACGATACAAAAATAACAAGAAGACTTTATCCCATCACGTGGGGTAAGTTAAATGAATCTTTTTTCTTTATTGCGTCCTATTAAGAATCAAAATTTAAAATTTGGCCTCAATGATAGGTTTCAATGATGTCAGAGTTAATTTAAAATAAATATACTACAAAATTAATTGATTCCTCATGTATTGCACCTATCTCAAAATAAATTTAATGATTTTGAAACTCAGTATGATCAAAATTTAGCCAAAATATTCTGACCCTAATTTTTTTCCGACAACATAGCTCAAACTCATTAACAGCGTGTTCTTCCACCAGTTCACAAATTCAGAATGCCGAAAGGAATAATGAAAACTTTCAGCATCTAACAACACCCCTTGCAAGCATGGACCTTTGCACTTCAAAGCAACCAGGACAGCTGGGGCCAAGAGGGATTGAATCAGTTGATCTGTTCTAAAAAGATCCATAAAATACAGAATTTGACAAATTAAAACAAAGTCTGTGATTCTTACAAGGCAATACTAGGGTGCAACACTAACAAAAAATCAACGTTAGATTCCTCAAGTTTTATAGTAGTTCCATATAGTTCATTTTATTGAATTAAGAGACGTAGATGACCTTTCCAAAAGGTTTCAGACGGATTCTTCCCTTTTATCTAAATTTGTTTATACCATTTTTACATTATACTCTTTAATTGAGTTTTCCTCTTCTAAATCGAAATGAACAAAGGGTCAACAGGCTCCAATGCTCATTTCTCTCTAGTTATCTTAATAGAGTCAACCCAAGAGTCTATACCCTCTACCTTTCTCCAAAATGAAATGGGTAAAGGGCGAAGATCATTGTAAAAGAAATTAGGAAATAATAGGGATTGGAGGGTAGGCTGCATATGAAAAGGAAAGAAGAGAGATGTATATTTGGTAATGGTTTTCTAGTAAATTGCCTGTACTTATCCTCTCTACAATCACTCTGCCGTACTGACATCTCAACGTGGATACTACATCCTAGTAGCTACTGAACAACCTCTCTGCCCATCGATATCACAATAGATGCACACTCCCTCTAGTTCTTATGAAACAGCTAATGAACGAATCTGTTACGCCTGGACCGGTCCCAGCTGGACCGGTCCGGTTCTACACCCGACGGCCCACGGTCGGGCGGAACCAGGCGGAACGCGCAGGCGGAACGCGCGCGGAGCGGGGCCCAAACAGCGGCTAAAACGCACGGGGGAGGGAAATTTTTTGAATGAGAGGCTGTTTTAGGAAGTCCATTACTGTCCTTTATGATTAATTTGTATAATTAGGAGTTTTGGGGGGATGAGCTGCTCATCTTGAATTTGAATTGTTTTGAGATCTAGGTTTTGGTGTCTTGGGCTCTTGGCTTCGCCGGAGATCTTTTGGAGAGTTTTTCCTTCCTCTCGAATTGAAGGAAAGTTGTATCTTGCAAGTGCTTTTCGTCCGTCATCGAAATAAAAGTGTTTGCAGTGTTTTTTTTTTTCCTACGTTTTCTCTCAGGTTTTTGTGCAGTTGGCTGTTTTTCTGCTGTGGGCAGCAGTTTTTCCTTTGGATCCTCTTGGTTTTGGTGTGAAACACTTGGAAATCCAAGTGTTTCCTATCAGAATCCTCCCTACTATCTGCTAGCTCGATAATGTCATGAAGGTGGAAATGTGAAAAAAATTCTAGGAAAGCTCATCGTGTGACTTGTAGTTCCAATTTTCTCTATTATGTGCCATTTAATAAGGAATGGATATTCGGCTAAACCAAGGAAGTAATATTAGAAGATGAAACATATTAAGCACATATGTTACTCATAAAATCCTTAAATATTGTTTACAATTAAAGTACTCTTCGAGCCCGAATGGATTTGTTAAGACTTTTCTTCTTTTCTTATTTAGATTTTGAACTTTATGTAATAAAAAAATGCTAACTTATTCCCTCTTAAAAATTCATCTATAGAGAGAACTTTTATTTATGTGCAACTTGAAATGGATTCTCTTTCAATGATCTTACCCCTAACGTCATTAGTCAAGTGAGTGGTGGACATGGTGGTTGGACTAGTGGCCATCATGAACATGGCTGCAATTTCCCCCCTAAAGTCATTGCGAATGCATAGATCATCCTCCGAAATTCGACTCTCTCTCAATTGCTCAGCATGCTTATGCAATTGATCCAACCCTACTCACTTTTGGTGCTTCTTTGGATTCTGTTACGCCGGCCCAGGAGGGGCCGACTGGACCGGTCCAACCCGGACCGGTCCACTGTTACTCCAAGCGGAGAAAACAGGGGGCGGGCAGAGCGTGAGGTCCA